TTAAAAGATGGTTTGGCACTGGCAGCAAAGGTAAAGTAATTGTAGACAACTCAACTAACATATTAACTACTGGTATATATTTTATCTGTTTGAGGTTTTATGAAATCTAATAATATTAAATTAAATTATAATAAAATAATAGATTCAGAAATTGGTTCTAATAAAGTATTTATATAAACCTACTTGCAGGCAATTAAACCAATAGAATTTGAATTGAAAAATGGTGCACGACTCAGTTTGAACATTGAGGTATGTATAGGAATATATTAGTTCACATGAGATTGTACAGTATAAAGTTGAACACATAAAACTGAATGAAGTGAAAATGCATCTTTTAATATAAAACGTACAGGTTCACCTGAAAGATTAAATATTTATTTAATCCTTAATAATTTCTGTGAGTGTGATTGCAATAAGTCAATATATTGGATAATATATATTTCTGAATTCAGACAGCATGGATCTCTTCACCTACAATTGCCCCAGGCAATACAACAGCCTCCACTCTGAAAGTCTTTCCTTCAGAGGTCAGTAATAATTTGTTTTAAAGTTATCAGAGCCTGCGATTAAAAAGAAGTAATATATATATATATGCATCATCATTGCCGCATGTATATATAAGCTGTGAAATCATAAAAACAAAACTATAGACATGATAAGACTAAATATGCTAAAAATTGACGACGTAGATACAGGTGAGACTCTTTAGTTATCTATATGTTTTGTCATATCTTGTGTGTTAAGTAAGTAAATCTCGCCTTGCTTCAGTGTCGAGCCAGAGCGACGACATATAGGGGGCGCCTCCAGGCTGTCTTCACGTGGAAGCTGAATGGGATCACCCACGACACGATCAACACGTCTCTGGGTGAAGTGCCCATCATGGTTAAGGTGAGGGTCAGGGCCAATGACATTGTAGTCAGGATCAAGACTTAATTTCTGCCCTTCAATCATCCTTCACCATGTTGTTTTACATTTCGGTGTCCTGTTTGTCTTCTTAAATTGGGTGCTCAATTGACTGTCTTATTATGGTGTGCTTTGCTCTGAGAACATGTATGGTCCATTCCTTAATCATGTTAAGATTATAAATTGAGATAAGACATAATGAAGCAGGGGTAGAAATTGACTTTTGAACAAGGGAGTCCAACGGACTCCCTACCCTCAAAAAGAGGGAGTCTGCAGCAAAATGAGGGAGTTCGCAGTCTGAGGTTCAAAATTAAAGATATTAACAATAACGCATGTGCTTATTTTTAAAATTCATGCAATTGCATGTCTGCCAAATTTTCTTTGGACATTAGCTGAAAAAATACAGTAATTCCGCGAGGCCATGCTTCGGAACTGAACTAGTTAGTATGGCAGAATTTTCAGGGAGTCACACGGACTCCTGCATATGTCAAATCAGGGAGTATTTGACTCCGGACTCCCGTTAATTTTGCACCCTGATGAAGGGTTTAAACATGCAATGACATGCAATACATTGTGGCATATCATTAGATTCATTACATGGCAACGCTGCTGGAGTACTCTTATCACAATGCTAATTAGCTAGGGCTACCTGCCAATGACTATCAATTAAGGCAGATGTAATTTTCATCATCTTACAATAGTATGTTTTTTTACCGATTTTACTGATAGTATGTTGTTTATATTTTCTGATTGTACTGACAGTATGTTGTTTTTGTTTACTGATTATCCAGATAGTACGTGGTGTGTTTATTGATCATCTTGATAATGTGTTATTTTGGTTACTGATCGTACCAGTAATATATTGTTTTTGGGTAATAACCCTGCTCATAGTACGTGCTTCACGTTTCCCAATCGTGCAGGCAGTACATGGTTTTTGTTTACTGCAGTCGAATGCATGTAACCTGACTAAGATGAACCCGAAGGAGCTCATCGAGCACGGGGAGGAGGCTGAGGAATTCGGTGGCTATTTCATCTCCAACGGCATCGAGAGAGTGGTGCGCATGCTCATTATGCCGAGACGCAATATGGTAGGCATGACGATAGCGTATCCTTGAGAGCACTTCGTATAGAATAGCCCCGAGAATTCGAATCCTTTCCTCTTATGGAAAACTATCACTGCTTAATTTCACCAAGAGCTCTAGCTCATTCTTTACTCTCCCTGAGCACTCTTATTCCTTGCTCTTTTCAAGATGACCCACCATTATCACCTTTCCTCATCCTCTTAACAAATGCTTGCACCCGTTTCCAAATTATTTCAGCATTTTGCTATGTGCTTTGGGCTTATGCAAAGTGTTCGGGATCTTGTTGTTTATACATTTTAGCAGAGCAGGAATGAAATGGCGATTTTGATGTTTGTGACACTGTGAATTAGTGCTATTCGCACATCCCTTGAACTTGCCTTGTCATAATTGCGTGTGTTTTATCGAAAACTATGCCACATTGTTCTTGTAGGCTCTCTGCATGGAAAGGAACAGTTGGAAGAAGAGGGGTGAACTCTTCTCAGAATTTGGTGTTTCGATGAGATGTGTCACATCTGACCAGACAGCAGTAGTAAGTGATATATATATATATACTAGCGGGATACCCGGCGTTGCCCGGGGAAAACATTCACACGTACGTGATGTTAATCTGTATGCACCGCCATCTATTGATGAATAGAATTTTTATGAATTTTTAACTTTTTAACTTTTTAAAATTTTTGTTTCAGCCAGAACCACCTCCCAGACGTGCTGATTCTGAAAATATCTTTAGTTTTCCTCTAGGCTGCGAAGTTCTCTAGTTATGCGAGTACCAACTAATTCGGCTGAACAACTTTATATATATAGAAGAAGATATAGGTATAGATAGTCTATGAAGTATTTGCTGAAATTCTGTTGTATTTCTTGGGTTTAAGTTTTCATGTAAGAAAAGGCCTTGTAATATTTATCAGATTACTATATTTGCAGGATTTATTTCAGCTTCTTCCTTGTAAAATATCATTTGCAAATAATATAAATAAAATAATATTAGTTATTTTGAAATTTATAGAATCAGATTGCTCATTACAATGTTTCAGAACATGGTGCTACATTACTTGCTCGATGGATCAGCATGCTTGTGTTTGTTCCACAGGAGAGAGGTTTTTATCCTTCCGGTTGTAATCATAATGAAGGTAATAAATTGGTCCTGTTCATTGTCTACATCTATATGGTTACGTCGATCTGTCACTCTTGACAATTACTCAACGGTTTGTAAAGCTTTATATCTAGTCATGTCCAAGCCTTGTTCGCACACTGATTGTAATCTATCAGATTTAAAACTTAAAATCAATTTATCTTGCAGGCATTGGTAGATGTTGTTGACCATCACATATTCTCTGAGCTGGTTAAGGGGAAAGAGAATGACTCGTTTTACAAAAGGTTTGTTGCAGACGCTAGTAAAACTAAATGTATTTCTATACATTGCGCGTGTGAGTGATTTAGCTTTACTGGTCAATATAATTATTGTGAGGAATGGCGATGAATTCTCGTGTTTATTTCTGCTTTACTTCGTGATAACAGATGCATTGCAGCAATGATCAGGAAATCGCAGGACAGTGGCGCCGCCTATAGAGTGGACGTGTTAAAATACATAGGAAAGAATTTTCGAGTGAAGCTTTCCCGGCCCGCGTGGCACACTGACGTGGAGGTGGCTGAGTATCTACTGCAGTAAGTGCTATATTATTTTTCACGCTGCTATATACCTTGCCTAGCTCCTAGAGGTAAAATTGCTAAACAAAAATGTTGTAATTAAACCACTGATAATCTCTCCATAGAGCAACATGAACATTCATACAGTGCTTCCTGTTCAAACGGTAGCAAATGAATTGGATGAATACACATACGTCACGACGATTCCCATATTTTGCTTAGCCTGAATGCACTGTAACCATGCTAATTTGTGTAATCGATTATAAAATGTAAGTATGAAATAATGTAACGTAACCGCAAACAAGCTCACGAACGAAGGGCGGGGGCGTGGAGATACGGGCGGGGGGCGTGGAGATACGGGCGGGGGGCGTGGAGATACGGGCTGAAGACGGTTGACCGTATCTCGCTTCAGGGAGCTGATCTGCCCGCACCTGAGCAGCAACCGCGACAAGTTCGACTGCCTCGTCTACATGACTCGCAAGCTGTATGCGTTCGCGAAGCACGAGTGTTCGAGCGAGAGTCCCGACAATCCTGCCTACCAGGAGGTCCTGCTTGCCGGACACCTCTACCTCATGGTGCTCAAGGTGAGCGAAGCGGACTCGCGCGATACACACACACACGCTCGCTGCGGTGCTAGCTAGCATAGTCTTATAGTATTAATTATCATTATAGATATCATTATAGATATAGTATGATATCTATCTAACATAGTCTTAACAAGAGCACTCGGAGAGCACAGACCTCCTCCAAGGCAGCTGAATTCTGTCACTGTGAAAAATTTTATTAATTAATTAATTAATTAAATAATCAATTGGATCCGGATGACGACCAAAATGTAATCAATTCTAAGTTACCTGATTTCTCACGTATCCTGAAAATTTTATTAATTAATTGGATCCAGATCACCACCAAAATGTAATCAATTCTAAGTTACCCCATTTGTGACCTATCCTGAAAATGTTATTAATTAATTTTAATTAGATCCGGATCACCACCAAAATGTAATCAATTCTAAGTTACCCCATTTGTGACCTATCCTGAAAATGTTATTAATTAATTTTAATTAGATCCGGATCACCACCAAAATGTAATCAATTCTAAGTTACCCCATTTGTGACCTATCCTGAAAATGTTATTAATTAATTTTAATTAGATCCGGATCACCACCAAAATGTAATCAATTCTAAGTTACCCCATTTGTGACCTATCCTGAAAATGTTATTAATTAATTTTAATTAGATCCGGATCACCACCAAAATGTAATCAATTCTAAGTTACCCCATTTGTGACCTATCCTGAAAATGTTATTAATTAATTTTAATTAGATCCGGATCACCACCAA